GGACTCGTAATTTGATTTGTAGTGTCGTTTGTTGCCGGACCACCGGAATCGAGATGGCTATAAATTATTATGTATACGCATAATATTATGTTATATATATACGTATATACAGTCCTCTGCAGTGTGTATACGTCGACTTACTATATGTAGGCAGGTATATATTATTATATACACAATATCACTGTAATACACGCGGACGTAGTGGTTGACGGGAGGAAAAAAAAAAGTGATCCGGTGTTTATATATTTTATTTCATTTGTTTTCTTCATTCACATTACACGCGCGTAGTACACTTCATACCACGAACCGTCGCGTCTCGTAGGTATATATTATATTTTTATACTTTACGGTTATTTTATCATCGCGTGTTTAGGTGACTATAATAATATTATGTCCACGTGTATACAGCACGATATGACCGCGGATACGACCCGACGGTCGTCGCGTGATTTAGATATCGCGTACTTACTATAAATTAATATAATGTATTTTAATATAATTGTAAGGTATATTATTATTATTGTAATGTTACGATGATATTATAATACAATACACGTGCTACACGTGCCGCGATATGTCGGAAAATTTTTTAATTTCGTTGTTCATTAACACGCGTGCTCTGTAGTTGTTTGTAATATTGCCGAAGTCGAGCGAGCTGGTTTGCCCGCGGGCCGTACATCGAGACGTAAACAATAGAGAAAACTCGGCGTAATAATAATATTTAAGGCATAACATTGTTTAAACAGAACCGAGTCATCAATCAGTAATTATTGTTATTATTGTTTTTATTTTTTATTGTTGTTATGATTATTATTATTATTATCATTATTGATACCTCCGTACGGTAGACGATATAGGTACTCGTACAAACGAAATGATTTGCGTTTATTTGTATGCATCCGAAACAATAGAGGTGTTGCGCACACGCATTCCGATTGGCTGACAGCCTGGTCGCATTATATATTTAGGTACCTACTTATATATTGTAGGTATATTATGTTTGCAGTGGTAGCAGTTGTATTGAAAACCAAATGCCAATACGAGTTGGATTTACACACTATATATTATCCTTTTATGTGGGTCAAGATAGTTCGAATTCATCGTTTTTATTTTCATCGACATACCATACTAGGTATTATTATTATCGTGTATGGAGGTGGGTTAGAGGATGTTTACTAATAATAATTTATGATGATGTGGGTATAATAGCAACCGTAACGGTAGGAGTTATTCAATGTTGTGTTTAATGGTCGTCGTGTTATGTAATGTAATATTATTTTCTCAATCTAAAAGTGCGTAGCTTATCTGTTGCGTGTGGTCTAAATGTCCATGTTTTCTAAAAAGAAAAAGGACTCAACTGATGTGTATACGTGCGCGCTAGCATTTTAGAAAAAGTTTATTCTAGGAAACCAAAAATTGAAGAAGAAAAGAAGGCGAAAAAAATGTGTCCCGTGTGCAATATTTATGATCAGGCGCACATACACGGGCGTTGGGTCACAATGGACGTCCCGTCGCGAAGGTGCTGGCCCCCGTTACAATTTAACACCGGGTGGGTATTTCTTTTCTGTCGATTCGTTCAGCACCTTAAAGTCCTTTCGGGACCTATATATACCGTATAGATATTCAATAGAGATTTTATTAAGTAGCGATCTTTTGTAATGGTCCTCTTCTCTGGAGTCATTGGTCATCGACGCTTCCGTCCGGCAGATGTGTACCCCCATTGTCCAGCTGCTCGTGGTGGACCCACGCACGCACGCGCGTACGTTCTATGCACCCACGATAAATATTTATACCTGACAGATATGGATTGACTTTGCCCATGATATTTTATTCGTTTTCAATATTATTTGAAGACGTATTTATTCTCGGTGGCGACGGCGGCGGTGGTGAATGGTGGTGGAAACTAGAAATTCAATAATAATATAAGAAGTACTATACAGTGAGTCGAATTTCATCGCGCTCACTCATCGCTGATTCAAACGTGATAAAACAATAGGACTATTTGTAAGGTCGGTGACCGTCGGTGCACATGTACACGCCGAATTCATATTTCAGAACACAAATCTAAGATATCTACATCTAAACTCTATTGTTCCCTCTCGATGTTACCCTCGAATTTCCTCGTGAGCCGGACAAGTATATAAGTTCTTGAGCCGTCACCGGGCTTACAAGTTAATGCGTTCTAAGTGAAATAAATCGCGTCCGATGCATGTTAGATACGTCACTGACGATACGTGTAAAAGATGACAATAGAGAGTTTAACAAAATAAAAAATATATACAATAATAAAAATAAATAAATAATCGTTTTAGATCTATGATACTATTGGTTTCGATTTGTATACATATATATTACTCCGTCAGGTACATAACATATTTAATATTATATTATACTCGTGACGAACAATCGACATCGATTGATATTGCGTAATACTTCACCGCTATATGCCTACATAATAATATTATTGATTCGACCTTTACACAACGTATTACACATTCAATTCTTTCGTAAACTTACCGGGAAAAAAAAGCTATATCTGAGAATCATCACTTGTGGGAGTCAGATATTATTTGTCCATCGGCTTATAATAATAGATTATTATTATTAAGACAATACAATACGCGTCAGTTATGCAGTAAATGCTACCCTTACGTGTTGCTGGAATTTGTTATTGTTTTTGTTTTTGTTTCCTTAATAAGTATACATATTTCCTTATATTCCTACGCTAGACCGTTTTCCGATTTGAAAAAAAATATACATTTCAAACCGTTTGCGATTGAAATCTCCAGTAGAGGTAGACAACATATTATCTGCAGCTGTACCAGCCGTGAGTGGGCACAATATTCCGGAGACGCGTATATATCATCCACGACGAAATATAATACTTCCACGTTGTTTTCATTATACGCATCTCAAACCCATAAGTCATAAACCCGTTTAGTTGTACTTTTTTTTAAATAACTCATTAAAAATTAAGAGTCCTTGGAAATGCCACCCAATTTATGAAAGAAGAATAGCATAGGTATTATAGGTATATATGTATAATAGGAGCAGGAGGGCGAAAGAAACGAAGATTCTTTTTATTACACTTATCTTTTGACGATGTATGCATATATGTGTACGCGCTTACACACACGTACGTGTATTTTTATTGCATTCCAGTCCATTGTATGCCATAACATATGTAAATCGTTAAAACACTCATCTCCAGCTCGTTTGTATAAGGTACCTACCTGCATATGCAGGCGTTCCGGAGTCGTTAAAAACGAAAACATAGCCGTTACGTGTCGCTAATCGTTTATTACCGATAAGAAACTGACCCGCGACTTAGGCGCCGGGGGAATATTCGCTTCCACCATAACCACGTCGTTTATTGATATTGACCGTAGTTCGATAGTAATATTTTATTTTATTAGCCGACGCGCGTAGGCGGTTAAATTATATTATGTAAAAACGAAATACGTCGTCTCTAATATAATAATAATATAATCTGGTCGTATTATTTTTGTTTTATCGTTTGATATATTATTATTGTTATTATATCGTGGCCAAAAATATTACACATTTGTTTTTTTCCGTATATTTTTAATAGTCTGTTAAACGACCGTCGCGTATTTATACGCTACTTTATCATCGCCCGAGTCCTACCCCTAAAACGTATTCATATATTATAATATAGTATACGTATTTAACGACTATACCTATACCTATATACAGCAACGACATGTATAATGGGGCCTTTCATATTATATTATTATACAAGAACAAAACACTGAACACGTCATCACGACCGGTAGTCCGGTTCCCATATGGAGGTGTGAATCCGTCTAGAACGTTACCATGTCGATTGCCATAATAAGATTGTCGATAACAAGCTTTCAACTCCTTTTCAACTGTCTGACCTTAGTGCGAGTTGATAGGACGACGGGAGGGAAAATGAAAAATATTTGCAATGAATAACAATATCGGTCTACGAGTTGTAGTAAAAGAGGTCATAGGCATACCGTGTGACCAACCGCATAAACTCCAATCATGTCTGAATCGTGTAATTGCACGTTAATAAAATCTTCGGAATAAATTATGTTCGTCAAAATAGATATTGTGAAGATAATAGGTGGGATGGGAAACATTATGGTTCACCTCCTGTAGTCAATATATTTAAAATGCGTAATAATAATATATTATTATTGTTGTTATTTTTTGTATACGTTTTGAACAAGAAAAATGTAGGTACTACCAAATATATTTTGAATGGAAAATTCTATCCCTAAATAACTACCATACCAATGCAATGGATGTGAACTCAATTTACACGCTAAAAGATAATACGATATCATGACCAAGGACATATTCGTCAATCTTAGTGTCAATGTTACACAAAATTTGGTCTCACAATAAAAACAGAAAAATCTTTCTTTCTTTTTTTTTTTTGGAGAAATCGACGATTCGATACGGGTTACGTATAAAGGCTTTTGTATATTCCCATACCATTTAGAAGAGGATTTATGGGCTATCCGAGTAACACAAGTAAACCTTAACTCCAGAAGTAACGATATTGACCACACCACGCACAACAAAAAAAAAAAGGGTCTCGGACCTAAAATCTTCAAGGTTTTTAAACGACCTTTTTTTCCTTCTATACCGTCAATATGTAGGTATTGAATAAGTAATTTACTGGATGTCTTTGTTCCGAAAAATTCCATTACTATAGGCTTACTACACTATCGAAACGAAAACGATAAAAATAATGTACATTACCGAATTTTTGCTGTAAATTATTATTGTATAAGAACGCATTGTGTGCATTTGACAGTTTCCTAACCTCCTGCAGTAACACTGGAATCGCTTGTATTATTATGTGATTTTGTTTGTGGGCCACGTGATGCACAAATACCGATCGTTGCAATAATAACTATGATAATAATAATAATAATAATAATAATAATAATAATAATAATAATAACAATAATATTAACATAACATTGTTGGTGTTTTTATAGGCGAGAAACCGTTCAAATGCGAGTACGAAGGATGCGACCGTAGGTTCGCCAACAGTTCGGACAGGAAAAAGCACTCGCACGTACACACGTCGGACAAGCCGTACAACTGTAGGATATCTGGCTGCGACAAGTCGTACACTCATCCCAGTTCCCTCAGGAAGCACATGAAGGTACGCATTCGGTTTATATGTATAATAATAATATTATATCTCTCCAACCCGCCGAAAATATACTCATTACGACACATTTTCCGGGCGCTCGGCTTATGCGTTTTAACATTTTATTAATTTGTATTTATCTCCGTAGGTGCACGGTAACGGCAAGATGGACAGCGACGGCAACTACGACTCGGAAGACTCCAACTGCTCGTCAGGTGGTTCGATCAGGGTGACCGACAGTTGCACTACTGCGACGCCCAGCATCGTGTCGCCCGTGGATCACCATCACGGAGCGCAGACGCCGTCCGTCCTACACCCGACGGCTCTGCCACTTCCCACACCGCCAACGTCCGATTGGTAAGCACGTCTTAAATAAGAATTTTCTTAGGCTGTATATTATAATAGTAGCTTTATACGACGGGGAAAAATCTTTTGGGATGTCAACGTGTATAATATGACGTTCCAATGTTTATGTCCTGAGAAAAAAAATGTTTTCACCCACATAATAATTCAATCCAATATTGACAATTTTCCGTAATAATATTATTATTATTATTATTAACCATCCTCGACTCATCATCTAGAAACTAGTACCAAAAAAACATTTAATACAATATTAACTGAACCATAATAAATAAAATCATACCAAACTACTCGATTATTTTTCCTCTACAAGGAAAACCTATGATTCATAAAATATATACCTATTTTTGTTAATAAGTAACCATGACAACGAAAACCTTACGAAAAGTTGACCAGAAACAAAATAACATATATCCATAGCCCGAAACATATTTTTCTTAAAAAAATTTACAGTAGAAAGCCTAAGCAATATGTTAAGAGTATCTTATCACTTATCAACCAATGAAATCTATTATACTTTGTCGTTATATAATAAATACATATTATTATATATTTATGTATGTCCCAATAGATGCACAACAAATAACAACGTGAAACGAAACATATATTTCAAATTTTTGTACATTCAACTATAAGACATGTACATTGTACAAGGTATACAACAATACAATATACGTGTTAATCGACCATACAATAATATACTATGAGTAGAGATGGCACGAAAGTCGTCGGTCTGAAAATAATTATTCGCGGCGTGAAGAATAAGAAGATGTATTATGTTATAATGCTGTTCGTTATTTCCACCGTCGTCTATATTATTATCATAACAACAATTATTATTATTATATTTTATTATAATATCTTTTCCGCGTTCTCATATTATAATATAATTGAAATATATTTTAATATTAATAATGAGATTGAGACGAGCCTGTTATATAAAACTTGACGACATGAAATCGCTTTTTTTAATGTAATATTATTCTAATTAAATCGATTGTCTAACTGTGATCTTCTGACCCCTTACAGGTACATGAACACCGGACCTGGCGCGCCGTCCATTCAACCGTCGTCCGTCGACCACGGTCACCACTATCTGACCGACCTAAATCACCATCACCATCACCATCACCCGCACCACCACACGTCACTGATGGCACATCACCATCACGGCACCGCGGCTTATTGAAACAAATCCCCCGCTTCGTATTACGACACCGCCGCTGCCACCGCCGCCACTTCCGAATGGAGGTAGCACACCGCCACCGTCGTCGTCACCGGTGATGATGACGATTGCAACCACGGTTGGTGATCATAGCAGTGGCGAGTACATTCTCGCCCTTGACGGCACACCTATAAATTTTATATAATGTAAAAAATATAATATAATTATATAATTATACTATTGTAGGTATATTATTATATTATTTTTGCGGACAAATGAGCATTTCGTTTTGTATTTATCTGACGACCGGTCATCTTAAAAATTTGATAATGCCATTCAATCATTGTGCAGCGCGTTTGGATGTATTATCGTTTATTATAATATTATTAGAAATAATATGTAATATATTATATTGTTTTTAGTTTTAACATCAGCTCTCTATCGTTTTCCATTACGATATGAAGTGGGGGCCACCTGTGATTTATATTATTAGTATTTAATTTTTTTTTTTTTTTGTGTAATTATTATCGACGGGTTATTTTAATTTTTTTTTTTAATTTAAAGGTTCTCGTGTATACTTGAAGACGTTAACGATACTACAGATGGTTTTTTTTTTAAATTGCATATAATAGTATCGTATACAACTGAACCCCTCTGTTACTGTGCCTTTAAATTAAATGTTTAAAAACTAAGGTTTTTTTTTAAATATCAACATTATAACATATGTATACCTAAATGTTATTGCATATTATAATGTATTTGTAATATTATATTGTAACCATCCAATCAAAAAAGAAAAGAAAAAACTTCCATTCATTTACAGGTACACTATATTTGTACAATCTTGTATTACTAAAGAATTTAACTCTGAAAGAGTATGTTAGGCCAACATACACATTCGGTTTAACGTAGTAAATTGTATTATATTAGTGTATCAAAGGCCTATATTGTAAAAAGAATATTTATATATACGTATATATTATACAAATAAAAATTTTAAGTGATATGAAAATAAATTTTATTTGTGTTTTAAAAATTCATCGTTCATTGTTTAATAATCATTTGTGCAGTGTATAATATGTACAATGTTATGCTGTACATCAGCTGTTCCAACTTCCAACCGCTGTATACCTATAGGTATAACACGTAGAATAATGTTCCTTTTGAATCAAACGCACATCCGCGTGAGGTAATAATAATATAATATTAATTCCTTAGTCTAATAAATTTTTAGGAGGTAACTGAACAAAATACGGTGAAGCCGTCCGTACCCGGTCGACGCACGAGAGGGTAATGATTCAGTCATGTGAACCAAAATCATAATTTTTTAGTGTTCTCGAGGCACAAAAGACGTCGTCGGCACAATATTGTTTAAAGAATAATATGCTTACCTATACATCAGGGGCGTTGTTGGGCTTTCATCGCGGAGAAACGAAAAGAATAAAATTTAAAGAGTTGTACAAAATCTAATCTGTTATTAAAGGGTAGTACACTAGTACCTGTATATTATACTATTATGTTCGGCATAAGAATTAAAATATTATATTCGCACATTTTAAAACTATACATTTTTATAGTATATGAGCAAATCGTGGTAGCGTAGCTAAGACGTATAGTCTGACGTGTATTGTTCGAATAATATTTATACTTTATTTTTTTAACCTTAATGCTCACAATGACTTTAGTGTAAAAAATCACAATAGAACAACAATAATTATCGTGTAACCTGCAGGAATGATCGTAAATAATATTATCATCTATTTAACTGTATACATATTAACAGAAACATTAGTCTCAATAAAGAATACTATATTATAATTTATAATTATATAAATGTAAATACCTACAATGTACCCCTCCCCATCAGATTTTTTTTAAACTTTAATAATAGTAGCTGATCTGTATGTCTTGTTGAACATTGGTAGACGGGACTATTACGATATTGACCATTAACGAGTAAAAACTTTTCAGAAAGTGATAAAAAAAAAAACTATTCAGTTTGTACAATATTATACCTACCTAATCATAATGATCGTATTAAAAAACACGACATTAGTTCTTTAACTAGTTTCATTGAAATTCCATCCTGGTACACTATTTGGTATTTATTGACTATATTTTCTGTCGTTCTAGCCGATCAGTCTTAAACTGGTTTCAAAAAAAAAAATCTGCTTTAAACTACACGACTTATTCTAAAAACAATTGTAAATGTAACCTATGGTGTATCTATACATTTTTTTAATTTAATTAATGCAAATAATATGCCTATACCTATAATATGCATAAAATAATATTTGAATTTACGGATAAGTACGTTTATGCTTATGTAAGTAATAAGTAGGTATATATAATGATCTATACTGAAATAATGTGCGTTTGTATAATATGTATTAATTAATTTTAATCACTATGATAACAGTTTTGACTTATAGATGAACCCTTAAATCGTACACCTGAGTGAACTGTAAGTTTCAATAAGTGTTGAACATGTTGTAATTTGTTTTAAAGAGGCCGTTGTTTAGATACTGGATCGAAAATTGTATGACGTTATGCGAAAATAGCACTAAAATAAATATTAAAATATAATGTTTTATCGCCTCCCAGGTACCTTCAAACGAATACTCGAGATATTATCCCGTTTTGTTGACGTTGAAAGTGTATTTTAAATTATAATATGATATGGTAATAATGTAGAAATATTTACATACAATATATTTTGAGTATGATACTGCAAAGAAATAAAAATATTAGAGACTCATCAATGCATTACTATTAAGATCAACGTATGAAATGGATGATTTACCTACTTATAGTGGTATAATTCGGGAATTAGCTGGAGTAATTCTGGTATTTGCCACTGTCTGGTTTTAAAAGCAGCCCAATTGTTGTTACAAAAACATTTGTAAAAACATGCATACTATTTTTAAAGTTTTGAATTTTTTAAAAAATATAATATTACGGGCACTTACTGACCATTGGTATATTATTATTACCTTTTTTTTTTCCAGTTTTCAACCGACGGCGCCACGGGAACTGCTTTCGCATTCTTCCGCGAATATTATTATTACCTACAATAATAATTAATATTTGTAGTTTTTTAGTTGGAATTAATAGACTTGTGGGCATGTGTATATTAGATATGAAGATTTGTGTATAAATGGGGTGTGCAGGGTGTGTGTATGTGTGTGCTTGTTGTATGAAGAAACATAATATTATGTAATTATGTAATATTATTATATATATTATGTATATTTTTAGTGTGATCTATTACTGTATGTGGGCATGTACAAGTAGGTACAACAAAAATTAAATTTTTATCCTAAATGATTTTAATTTTTAAATATTATTTTTTCATTCCAGCGTTAATTTAATGTATTAACTGACACAGTAAAAATTCTAAAAACATAACAACTTGCAGTGGTAAATTTATCTGAGGTTTCTAAAGATCCTCCGTTATAATACTTAATATTTTTCACTTTTTCAGTTACCTTATAGCAGTCGTGTTTAATATTGTAATTAAATTTGTTCAGCCCCTCTAGAAAATTTAAAATTACGTTACTGAAGTATTATACTTATAATAGCTATAGCTGTCTAGATACATTGGCGTACACAGCTATTTTCAATGGGGGGGGGCTTACATATAAAAAAATTATATACATAAATATATATATAATACATTGTTGAATCAAAACGATGTACCTATAGTAATTATTTTGTAATTAATGAGTAATCGGCTCATTAGCAATGACTTAAGGTGAAATTAAAAATATTTTTACAATTCTCGATTATTATTTAAAAAATATATACCTATTACCTACAGGTAATTATTTAGTATAACTACAAAGTTACACGCGTACATACAATATGTATATAATAATATATTATATACAATTAAATAAAAGATAGGTATAAAGAGAAATTTATTTTTACCATATTAATCATTTTTTTGTACCTAGGTCCTAGGTTGATAATATAATGTATTAAATATTTACCTGGTTCCTCCGAGTTAATTGTATCATAAATTAGTGAGTTAGAAAAATATTCGTTTATTCTTTTCATTTTTATTGTTTTATAAAATATTTAAACAGTAAGTACAATTTACTAAACGTCCAAAGCGTCAGGAATTTGATTGAAAACTGAGAAATAGATTCTATACTATAGTATTAGCGATAATGCGACAACTATTAAGGCATATTATATCGGATTACACGATTGTCGACCCTCATGTTTGTGTTTGAACAAATTTCCCAATAATTTCATTAATTTCAAATTTGTAACAAGTTATCAATAATATCTACAATATATTATAACAACAAACTGGGTTGCTTATAAGTTATAATATAATGGAGTATAATTTGGAATATAATATTTTTTTAAATTGTCATCATTTTTATTATACATTTTTACGTTATTACGTAAACTGAAAAAATACTAAAGGGGGGGGGGGTGAACACCCAAAACCCCCCCCGTGTGTACGCCACTGTCTAGATAGGTATAACTATAATAATATGTGTTTAGCTCCCTACATATTTTTTTTTGCCAACAATTTAGGCTAATTGTGCCTAATACATAATAACTATGTATATTATGTATTATACTTTGTAAAATCAAATTTTGTTCATCAAACAATTGTTTAAGATTTAGATGACAATAATCACTGTACTGTAATAAAAATGTAAGTAGAAATTTCTGGCCCGCAGCGAGTGGCTTATTTTTTCAGTTATTTGAGCCAGTCAAAACGTCCCCTCCCCCTATTAAATACTGAAATGACTCCACTGGGAATATTTCTGTTTAGTTATAATGATACGAATCGAGTATCTTTTTACCACAACTATATCTGTGGCCTGGATATATGATAACTGACAGCAATAATACTACAAATATAAACAAATATATCTGCAAATGGAATTTATTGCCATGGGTGGACTAAGGGGTGGGACAAGAGGAATAACCCCCCCCCCCCAGAAATTGTAAATCAACCCTGTACCAATCGGCTTTCTGTTAAATAATTGATATTTATAAGTACACTCTTATCATTGCCAGCCCCAATGCCCTCTATATTATATTCACGAATAAAAAAATTAAAGCCCCTCTGAAAATCATATCCCCAGCCCGTCTATATTATAATAATAATATGTTTATTACGTAGTCGTCGTTGAAATATTATATCGTTTACCATTCGATCATTCGTCCGATCATTGTACCCGAAGCGAGAAAAAAATAATAGCGAGGTAGACGGGCGTAGTAGTTGTCGTAGAGCCCATTATTGAGTCTGCGTATACCTACACTATATCTACCCATAACGACTTACTATAATACGTCTTATAAATTATTTATTATAATGTGTATAGGTACACGATAAATAAGACTATCGGTTTCCTGAAACGTTCAATTCGGTGATCGGGACGAACGTTTCCCCAGCCCCCCCCCAAAAAGATTTTTTTAAATTTTTTTTCATTTATAATTAGTATGGAATATGTATGAATTTGTACGATGAAAATCAGAATTTGTACGGATTTATTTTCTAAAGAAAAAACAAAAAAGTGTGGGAGGGCTGTAGAAACGTTTCTCCAGCCCTCCCAAATACTAAAAATAGGTTTTTTCAAAATTTTCTTACGCGAATATTTAGTACGGAATTTGTATGCATTCGTACGACCATTCGCGAATTTTCCGGAAAATCCCTTCCAACCGAAAAACGGTTTTTCCACACCGGGCGTTTCCCCAGCCCTCCCAAATACTAAAAATAGGTTTTTTCAAAATTTTCTTTCGCGAGTATTTAGTACGGAATTTGTATGCATTCGTACGACCATTCGCGAATTTTCTGGAAAATCTCTTCCAACCGAAAAACGGGTTTTCCACACCGGGCGTTTCCCCAGCCCTCCCAAATACTAAAAATAGGTTTTTTCAAAATTTTCTTTCGCGAATATTTAGTACGGAATTTGTATGCATTCGTACGACCATTCGCGAATTTTCCGGAAAATCCCTTCCAACCGAAAAACGGTTTTTCCACACCGGGCGTTTCCCCAGCCCTCCCAAATACTAAAAATAGGTTTTTTCAAAATTTTCTTTCGCGAATATTTAGTACGGAATTTGTATGCATTCGTACGACCATTCGCGAATTTTTTGGAAAGTCCCTTCCAACCGAAAAACTGGTTTTCCACACCGGGCGTTTCCTTAAGCCCTCCCAAATACTAAAAATAGGCGTTTCCACATCCCGGCAAGTTTTTCCATAATATTCTTGTCTATGAGGATTTGGAAATAATTTTTTTTTTAAAAAGTTTTCTATAACTACTGATCGCCGGGATGCAATAAATATCTATATACTTTCAGTACATGTATTTTATAATATATGCTAATGTAGTAGCCTTTTTAATGGTCTTTTAGAATTTTTAAAATCATTTAGAATGTGTGGTTTTGAATTTTCAAAAATTAAAGCTAATGAAATAGCAGATGTCGTGAATATTCATAACAAATTTAAAAAGAAGCGTTTTAGAAGGACAAAAAAACAATTTGAGTACGAGAATTCTGATGAAATAAATGATGACGCAGAAAACAATTTCAGAATATTTTATTTTAATGTCATTGCCGATGGAGCTATATTATCATTTAGTGAACCATTTAATCAATTTAAAATTTATAGCGACAATTTCAGTTTTCTATACAATATTGGTGAGCTCCAAAAAATAACTAATGATGACCTTATGAAGAGTTGCTTAGATTTACAAAATTATCTAAGTGACGGAGAATTATATGATATAGTTGCTTCTGAATTGTATGAAGAGTTACTAGTTTTTCGTCATACAATGAAAGAATATTCTACGCCAATAGAAGCACTCAGTTTTTTTAAAAACAATGCCTGGTGCTTTTACAGCTTTTCCTAACATAGTAATTTCACTCCGAATTTTGTTAACCATACCAATCACCTCAGCGTCAGCAGAAAGGAGTTTCTCAAAGCTCAAAATAATCAAAAATTACCTAAGAAACACAATGTCTCAAAAACGATTGACTGAATTGGCTACTATTGCAATTAAAAATGAAACAGCAAATACATTGAATTTTAAGGACGTCATAGAGTTGTTTGCGTCCAAAAAATCAAGAAAAAAATTTTAAATATTCTATATTGATTTTGTTTTTTTATTGCTTAAATTTCTAATGTTTAAATGTATTATTTTATATTAAATTTAGTACATAAAATTACAGAACCTTTGTACATTTGTATACCTTAGTGACTTAGTATATTTGTAAGTTATTTATATGTTTGTAAGTTGACAAGTGTGTATTATACAAAGGTGTTTAAAAGTAATCATTAAAAAGTTGAAAATTAATATTTACTAATGTATTTTTATTTCAATAAACATCATAGGTGTAACTAGGGTCAACATTTTGGGAGGGCTTAAGTCCATAATGATTTAAAATTGTTTTATTTGGGACCCACATTTTTTATGATTTTTTGCCTTAAATTACACCTATGTTCTATGCGATATGGATATTGGTTAAATAAGTTTTGCCCAGGGCCTCGCAAAAGGTAGCGCCGGCCCTGCTCCTGGCATTTACAAACATCTTAGAAAAATTTGAGCCGAAACGGACCAGCCGTTCTCGAGTAAAAAATAAAAATAAAACAATAACAACAATACAAATCAACAAACATGCCCGATTAACTAATAGCAACCAATATACAAAACACTATTATTATTTTAATGTTAAACTAATTTTTTTATTATTTTATTATTTTTTTCTTGGACAGATGGCGCCACTATTGCATTTTTTTACTTTGAAATTATCTGGTTTTCCGGTGAATTTTCCTACAATTTCCAATCGTTTCAAGTATCTCCAGGCAATTACGAACAACTTAAAAACAATTTGAGCCAAATCCGTCAGGCCGTTCTCGAGTTTTAGCGAGACAAAGGAACATCAATTAATTTATATATATAGATTGAAATTATGTTTAAATGTTTTTGATTGGGTTGTTATGAATATTTTATATAAAATAAGAGAACTCGATTTTCGATATTTCATTCTCAAAATCGATAAAATCGTTAAAACTTTGAAAAAACCTATTTTTAGTATTTGGGAGGGCTGGGGAAACGCCCGGTGTGGAAAAACCGTTTTTCGGTTGGAAGGGACTTTCCGGAAAATTCGCGAATGGTCGTACGAATGCATACAAATTCCGTACTAAATATTCGCGAAAGAAAATTTTGAAAAAACCTGTTTTTAGTATTTGGGAGGGCTGGGGAAATGCCGGTGTGGAAAAACCGTTGTTCGGTTGGAAGGGATTTTCCGGAAAATTCGCGAATGGTCGTACGAATGCATACAAATTGCGTACTAAATATTCGCGAAAGAAAATTTTGAAAAAACCTATTTTTAGTATTTGGGAGGGCTGGAGAAACATTTCTACAGCCCTCCCACACTTTTTTGTTTTTTCTTTAGAAAATAAATCCGTACAAATTCTGATTTTCATCGTACAAATTCATACATATTCCATACTAATTATAAATGAAAAAAAATTTCAAAAAATCTTTTTGGGGGGGGCTGGGGAAACGTTCGTGTGATCGGGCCGGTGGATATATTTGAATTTTAAAAATCTCGTTACACGGGTTAGAGGTGTATATTAAATTGTATGCGTTTGCGTCCAACCGGTTCTCGAAAGGAATCGATCCGAACCCTTTACCGCGTGTCAATTGCATAATATTCGTATAATCATTTATCATCAGCTGCTGCAGCGGTGGTAGCACACTAGAATTTGTACAAAACCATTGTCCAGACTAATTGTTTAAATTAAACATTACACTTATCTGCCACGACCATCTGAGAATACATTAGTGTAAACACGATGCGCGGCTCGTGTTATTCTGTACAGACGTATTATGTTTAATATGCATTATATTCTATACGATAGACCACCGCCGAATGTGCCTAATAATATATGTAAACGATCGAGTAAAATGTCAAAATTACAATCGATTTTAGACAGCGTAAAATAATATGTCTTATACCAATTACTCGACGGTGTTTGGAAAGAACGCGTCCGTGAACGCGTGTCCTTCTTCACATTATTATTTTACGAAAGACTAGTGGTTAAGTTAGTCACTCTGCACTTAGTCACTTAGGTATAATATCAAATAGAACCGGAACTGAGTTCATATTTTCGACGGACTTGAACAATTTTTTGAAAGTTTAAGTAGGTTAAATTATTTTTTTTCAAATTTATTTTTTATATGATTATCCTGTGACAATTGTATCTACATTTTATATTTTTATCCACATGGTGGTATCGATAAGTTCATATTATTATGCAACAGTAAAATTTAGATTTTTTTGAAATGTAAAATGCATATTATAAATTATTATACCATGTAGTTTATAATAACATTTTGAAAAATACAACATTGTACACTCAACGGAGGTCGATGCGGGATTAATTTAATAATAGTATTAAGCAGGACAATTTGAAGGTAAATTTGTTAAAAAATAAATAAAAAGTGATATTATATTAATTTTATCAATGTAATTCTTTATTTTCTAGTAATTTTCCTGCATTATATAATAAAATATGTAAATATTAAATTAATTGAATTATGTTATTGCATATTAAAACTTATTTATAATTAATATTGGTAGTTCATTATACTTTTGTTGTTATAATATCTATATAATAGTTGAATGGATATGAATTGTAACTAAAGAAAAAGAACATTTTCGACTTTGTCATTTAAATTTATTTAGCATCAGATTTGTATTCTATAATTTGGCTATGGTTTAAAAAAAAAAATGGTACCCCCAGTGATTAGATATTGAATTTATTTAAAGGTAGGCACTTTATTTTATTATAATAGGTACCTATAATAGGTATATTATAATTCAATGTTGTTTAATTATTTCATATTTACATATTATATAAAATACTATTTAAAAAAAAAAAACTATTATGCATGTTCATTTTCTTTTTAAGAACGGACGTCGTACCTTTATTGTACCTGTCCATCTTACTAAACGAACAGCACATGAACATTTTTCAAATTTTAAATTAAATTTATGAAATAATTTACAATTTATAAATTATAATATCAAAAATTCCCATGTGGGGCCCAGTTAATATTCTTACCTTTCAATTTTTTAATATTATATCAATTGATTTTAATATACCTATAGAAAATAACCTAGTAAAATTGATTCTTCTTAGGTAAGGTACAATTTTATGTAGGTATATTATGCGTTACCTAGTAAGACGGATACAACAGCAGGTACGACGTTATTCTCTTAACATGTTTCTTGCAACGTTCCTTTGCATACAAAAAAGTGAACGTGAACGACTGTGTTTTTTAGGTAATCGGAAAAAAATCCCCAGGAAAAAAAATCCCCCGACGAACAACCCCGGATAAAAAATCCCCAACCCCAGGAAAAAAAATCCCCAGCTACAATATGACTGACAATCACATGCAAATGGTTGAACAAATATATTTTGAACGTTAATTAGTATCTATAATAAATATTTAATGACAAATACGTATATTATATCCTATTATAATATGATATATTATATGTAGTAATAATATATTATATTATATTATAATTTATATTGTTAAAAAAATTATAAAAATATTTATAATGATCGATACGTCAATTAATAATACAGTTAAAAACATAGTATATAAAAATATTATACAAAATATAGGTACCTACCCATATATTTTATGTAGGTATAATTCTGTAAAAATTGAATCCCCGAAATAAAATATTGCGTTTTCTGTGACATTTTGACGATAAGCGGTTTAGTATGTACCTTTGATAATATATAATATGAGGTAAAGTTAGTTATTTAATTTGAATTACACATAATATATTATCGTAATTTAAAACAAAATATTATTTATAATGTATAATTTTTTTAAAAATATAATATAATATATTATATTATAATAGAATATAATATACGTATTTGTAATTAAATATTAATTATAGATACTAATTAACGTTTAAAAAATATTTGTTCAAACATTTGCATGAGGTTGTGAGTAATATTGTAGTCTGGGGATTTTTTTTCCGGCGTTGTTCGTCGGAGGATTTTTTTTCCGGGGATTTTTTTTCCGGGATTCGTTTTTTACGCATTGAATGTGAACGCAAGTGATTTCAATTTTCACGTACATATTTCGAACACAGCTGCAAATTGATAAATTAAAATGTAAATAAAATGTATGTATGGCATACTATCTAGAATACACGTCAATGTGGAATTGGAATAGTATAAACATAATGTAGGTATTTTTTATTTATTAATTAATGAAATAAAAGACAGTATAAAATAACATATTAATGATATTATTATAGGCGTTGTATACTATATTCAAAACTAATGCAATCATCGTGCCGTTACCTACCAACTCCAATATAGACCTCGAAGGTAACAAGAAATACATTTTTTACAAAGAAACAAAATAATTGTTTTAGCCGTTTTAATCGCACAAAAAATATGACACTTGCATTGTTATCAACAGAAGATAGGCTGCAAATCATGATACGGCGAGACACAAATAGGGGATGAAATAATATTATCTTGAAACACGAACACTGCTGTTTCCATACACGATTTATCCGAACAATTATTTTCTCGACGAAATAACCATTTAGTTCATAATACAATGTGTGTCACAATAAGGAATGATTTTACAAAATGACGCGTGTCAATTAAACGTCACCAAAATAACAGCAACGTGTCCTTGTGAGTTCTTATGGCATTATTATTATTTATTACGTACCTACGCACATCGATTGTGTTCAATATGAATTTAACAAAAGTAAAATATTACGTTAATTGTTAAATTGTATTTCGCAGTTATAGTGTACCTGACGCATTATTATAATATAGGTATCAGTGGTATAACGAAAACTGTATGATTGCTGTTTTTCGGCAACTCTGTGATGAAGTAATATTGATATAGGTTAATGCTTTGTAATTTTCAGACGATCATTTGCAACGTTTTGATGACGTGTATTGTCTTACATACAATATAATATTTACGAAATTCTGTTATAGTTGATTGTTGTTTAAAAATCGCAAACGTAAATAATTATAAATACACCCACGTTATAATATATCTATTCTTTTCGTACGC